ATTTGCACGACTTCACAAAACGCTAACGGAATTCCAAGCGCCGCTGACTGTATCTAAGTCCGGCTTTGGCTCATAATTTAAATACGCTCTCACGCTTATCTGCCATGGCTATATTTTCTGAGAATGAGACAACTATGCCCTCCGTGGTTAAAATATGGAGGGCAAATGCCTCGGCATTTTTACGTTGCTCAAAATTCGTCATTCATCACGACACTGCCTTTAATGTGCATTTGATTTATGCATAAGGCATAGATAGCCATTTGGAATTCAATTGTAAGAAAATAGTTTCTGGAACCAGGAGTTCCATGCTTAAATATCGGAGTACAATATCCCAGCAGGTATCGGTTAAACAACCTTATGCAGCAAACATTGATTATCGTGACAGGTCAATGACCCAACTTAAAAACTCTGAACTCACAATTACGAAAAACAGCAGTGGTAAGGGTTCTTTGCTTATATCGCTATGGTACTATTACGTTGCCTTCAAAACAAGTCCACTGTTTCCTTTCGGAACGATATCAAAATCTGGGGAACTGCGAGACGTGACCACTGAAGTACCGCACGAACATTTCACTCCAGCCTTTCCCAGGCAAGCAGAGTCGCAGAACAATCATCCCTTGCAATCAGCCTTGCCTCCCAAGTAATCGCCGCGCTCCGCTGCGTAAGATTTGGCCTTCGCTAGATTCCGTCGGAATAACATGGAAAAGGCGAAGACGCGCAGCTCGCCATGACGCGCTTTATTTGTTTCTTTTCCAAACAGTTAAGAAGCTATTTGGCGTACACGTCGTCTACATCTGCGCGCACATCACTTCCAAACACTGGCATAACAAACTCCTGACCCCCGTAACAATGCCCTGTCAGTCCAGCAACTGCCCCGGCACAGCGCTGAGCGACAGCTTTGGAAGCCGACACCAGCTCAGCCTCAGCTCAGCGCCGCTCCGGCACAGCGCTGAGCAACTGTTCAGCAGCCGACGCCAGCTTAGCCTCAGCCCAGCAGCCGCCCCAGCGCAGCGCTGAGCAACTGCCCCTGCAGCTGACGCCAGCTCAGCCTCAGCGCGGTGTGGCGCCCCGCTGGCGCGCGCCGCCCGGCCTGCTGGCGCGCCTGGTGCACCGCGGCAGGCTGGCGCCACACCGCCTGGCGCCTCTGGCCTCGCCCAGGGCGTCACAGAACGCCGAGAAGCTGTGCTGTGACGTCGTCGCGCTGCTCAGGAACCAGGCGGCCGGCAGGCTGAAGCAGGGATCGGTCGAGTCAGTGCCGCCGCCGCCGCCGCCGCTGTTGCTACTGCTGCTGCTGCCGCTGCCCCTGACGACAGCGGAGCGGGCCGGGCCACAGCGCGCTAGCCCAACTGCCACAGACAGCGCCAGCCACAAGATCACAGCAGAACGGTATGGCATGATTAACACTTGCATTAATGAAAAGGTGCGATGCCTCGAGTTAGTTCTCAATTCTGATCGTTGCGGAATGTGTTTATACTGCAAACTAAAAATGTTTTTTGAACAAGGCTACCAAGTGACCTCAATTCGTTGTCGTTCTAGCGGTGTAATGCACTTTGGCTGTAGTACGAGAACACGAGTGGGTATATCAGAATAGGCAACAAGAAGAGTGCAACCGTGTGTTTCACTATGTATAAAGGTTTCCGCATAACAAAAGCATCATGTGGTTGGCATTCGGTTCCGCACAAAGAAACATATTCAGCCGGTCATGACTTGCCGTGAAGGTGACGCGTTTGGAGCTGCTCCCAAAGCTCGACTAAAAGATGATCATGATAAAGGTAAAGCATCCCACGCATTGCACCTTTCTGTAAGTAATGCTGTGGTAGAACTTATTAGACATAGAAAATCAAAAGACATCAAAACAGTGCTAAGTGACCAATTTGTCAAAAAAACGCATGGGAATGTGTTGAAAATGTATTCATTTTGTACGTCTACCTTGTATTGATTTTTGCCTTTTTCCTTCCTCGAGCCGTTCAAGCATTAGACGTGGTAAATCATGCTCGTACGTAAAATATTAATGAAAGGTACATGGCAGTATCATTAAAGTTTGCGGCAATTCACTTGTGTAATCACACCGCAACCGAAACATGAGCCTTGGTATACTGTAGAGCATGCGCTTATCTAAGCTGAACATGGAACAGAGGGCGTCCCTCTGTTTCGACAGTTGAGAGGATGTGAGGCAGAAGCCCAACCCGGTCCCCTGGGGAGGATCCTCGACAGTCACCTGGCCAGCGGTCTCCCCCAGTTCCGACAGTTGAGAGGCTGTGAGGCAGGAGCCCACCACGGCACCCCCGGGGAGGGTCTCCGACAGTCACCTGGCCAGCTGTCTCCCCAGTTCCGACAGTTGAGAGGGCTGTGAGGCAGGAGCCCACCACGGCCCCCCTGGGGAAGATGCCCGACAGTCACATGGCCAGCTGTCTCCCCAGTTCCGGCAGTCGAGAGGCTGTGAGGCAGGAGCCCACCACGGCCCCCCGGGGAGGGTCTCCGACAGTCACCTGGCCAGCCGGACAGCGGTGTAGGTGTCGGTGCCGAGGCGGCGGGCGCGCCGGCTGATCCTGCACAGATCGGTCGGCAGGCAGGGCTCGTCGTTGTACACGAACGCCGACAACAGCGCAGCCACGAGCGGCGTGCCGGCGCCGACGCCGTCTGCGCACAGAGAGCAGAGTCTCGGTCCGTCGGCTCTCACGCACGCACGCACGCACGCACGCACGCACGCACGCACGCACGCACATTACCCCACACACTCGTACAAACATCCATCCGACTGACCCAGCATATATGTACTCGCGTTCGCTGTTACGCATATGTGCGCGTAAATCCGTTTACCTTTACACACGCACACGCCCAAGCCAAGCTGGCGCACACTTATATGTGCACTAGCATTCACGTTATGGGTCCGGAGTGCAGGTCCGACTGTACTGACCTGAAGCCGAGAGCGTGTCCCGTTACGCTGACCTGATTGCAAGGAACGGGCCCGGTTGTGACATCTGGCCCGAGTCCAGGGATCGTAGCCCGCTGTGCGGACCTAAGTCCAGGGAATTGGCAGTGTTACATTGACCCAAGTCCTGGGAAGGGGCTGTATTATACTGACCCGCGCACAGGGAGCGGGCCGTGTTTTAGTGATCTGCGCACAGGCAGGAGGTCGTGTTACGCTGATGTGCGCACAGGGAACAGACCGTGCTATGTTTACCTTCGAATAGAGAGTGAACCGTATTAAGCTAACTTGAGTCTAAGGAGCGGGTCGTGTTATATTGAACCTCACACAGGGAGCGTGCCGCGTTACACTGACCTGCGCACTGCCAGCGGGTCATGTCATACTGACCAGCGCATGAGGAGCGGGCCGTGTTATACCGACATGAGTCTAAGAAATGTGTTATAATGACCTTCGCACAGGGAGCGGGCCGTCTTATACCGACCTGAGTCTAAGGAGCGGGCCGTGTTATACTGACGCTCGCACAGGGAGCGGGCCGTGTTATACTGACTTGCACATGGGGAGCGGGCCATGCTATACTGACCTGAGTCTAAGGAGCGGGCCGTGTTATACTGACTTGCACATGGGGAGCGGGCCATGCTATACTGACCTGAGTCTAAGGAGCGGGACGTGTTATACTGACTTGCACATGGGGAGCGGGCCATGCTATACTGACCTGAGTCTAAGGAGCGGGCCGTGTTATACTGACTTGCACATGGGGAGCGGGCCATGCTATACTGACCTGAGTCTAAGGAGCGGGGCGTGTTATACTGACTTGCACATGGGGAGCGGGCCATGCTATACTGACCTGAGTCTAAGGAGCGGG